CCCCAAAACCCCAAAACCCCAAAACCCCAAAACCCCAATTTTTAATATCTAGATTGAAACCTCTGAAAATATGATTATTTTCTACCAAAATTTAAAGCTTTTGAGTCTTGGCCATAAGGTCTGAGCTCTCTTGAACCATTTTTTACAAGGGGCAAGCGAGTTCCTTGAGGATTCGTTGATTTAAATCCATTCTTACGATAACCATTCCTGATAAATTTGGGCATATCTGATTTAGGATGGATAGTTTGATGATAATTCGAGTACTCAATATTACTATTCGACAGATTATTAGACAAATCTTGCTGAGGCATATGAAAAGTCGAAGATTTTCCAAGATGTTTAATCTTCTTTCCTTCCCTATTCTTCGTTTGCTTAACACTATAAGTCTGATGATGACCTCCCTTATCAGTAAACTCCTCTGGGAGCAATTTCGGAGATGTTTTCTTATACTTCCTTCTACTCACTCCATTCGATACCATACTCGCCTTCCTCCCTCTCTTCCCTACTTCCTCAACTTTCCCATTTTCTCTCCTCACATTTCTCCTATTAGAGATCTTAATTCGGCTTTTCAGAGTGGTGTTCAGGCCTAGAAGATTTGTAGGGGATTTACCTTTGATCTGTTTTGAAGGCACTGTGTTCTCTTGAGACTGGTTCAGTCTCTGTTGGTTGTGGATAAGGTTAAAACGGAGCTTTTGTTTAGAATGACCCTTTTGTTGGTAGGTGAGGCTAGGGTCTTCGTTGAGGGGCTTGGGATGGGGGTTGTGGTGCAGGCTGGGAATAGTGGGTTCTTCTTTGAGGAGAGATGCGTTTTCGGTCCGAGCGTGGTGGTGGTCGAAGGTTGTGTTTGTCTGGATTTTGGCCTTTTTGTGGAGCTTGTTTTTGTTGAGAGATTTTATCATTGCTTTAGAAGAGAAATTAAATTTTTGAGGAGATTTTCATAGAGAACTTTTACTCCTTTGGCTGCTAATAGCGTCTTCGGCTATTCTTTTAGCTATACAGCAATGCCTCATACATTGTCTAGGTGTTGAGAGGAGGCTTGCTTTGCTCATCTGGCTCTTTTTCTTCCTTTTCCTACGTTTCTTTCGGATTACTTTCTTGGGTTCTCTGACACTATGTGTTCTTTCTGCTAAAGATTTTTCAAGTGGAGTATCTGAATCAGTGTCTTTCCCTCTTCTGAAATTTGGGCTTTGAAGCGCATCTGAATTGATTGAAAGAGTTCCATTTATTTTTGACTGAATTGTGTCATAATGGCTAATTGCATCGATCAGCTTCGGCTTTTTACAATCAGGGCATATATCATCTTTGGGAGGTGGTGGTGGTGAAGGAGGAACTGGTTTAGGAGGTTCTTCCTTAATTTTCTCGAACTTTCTTACAACTTTATACTTAGCTCCCATCAAAGTGCTCGGATTGTTGGCAAATACATCATCAGAGTCGTATCCTACATCAAGGAACTTCCTTTCAATTTCTTTGATCTTCGATGGACTTGGCTTTTCTTTCTGTGTATTATCAGGGGACTTCCTAGAATCAAGGCTGAGTCGCTCTCTTCTATGATTGATAACAGAGATTGCTGCATTGGATCCTTTGTCTGAATCATAGTGGTCTCAAGTGCAGTATTCCTTTGATGGAGGCTTAGTCACCTTAACTTCTCTTCCTTGGATGCCTAGTTCATTTTCCATTTTCCTCACAATGAGATCTACTGGGTTGATATAGTCTGATATATTGTACTTTTTCTTTGGATCATTTGAATTATTCTTATAAATCATTTTTAGTTTATCGATATTTTGAGGATTGTTTAGGACTGATTTTAAGAAGATCTCCCAGACAGGTGGCGGTAGGTTGTAGTCATACGTGTTGTCAGCCCTTATCTTTACTATTCTAGCATCCTTGTTCTTTGCTTTCTTGGATCGCGTTGAGATAGAACGGTAGTTACGCTTTTCTTGAGGTGACTTGCTGATACCTTTTTGATGTAGATTTTGTATTGATTTTGACTTTATGGGGGATGCTTGTTGGTAATACTGACCAACTATATTGGGAGACGTGTGCACTATGATTCTAACAGCAGTATCATTGTGGTTATTTACGGCGTCCAGTCCTGATTTTTGCCAATTGCTGATCATTCATTAAAAGTTTATCTGGTCTCTCATCCGGTCTTGAACAATAATAATGCCTATTCGGAGGCTCATCATTCTCATGCCCTGGCTTAATAAGCTCATAAGATAAAGCAAATCTGAAATTATTTAGGGAGCTTGAAGACTTTCCTAGTCTGAAGTCTCAGGTACCCTAGAGTGACATCATCTCTCCGAATCAGAATTTGTTTCTCTTTATGATCGTGATGAAATTTGAAGACTATAAAGTCCATATTTAATTTTATTTCTTAACAATATTTTTGAGTAAACTTGGGGTTTTGGGGTTTTGGGGTTTTGGGGAGAT